TTCGACCGTCCAAGTTCCTGAACATTTTGAACTTCAATCCCACCTGTGGAAATTTTATTTAAAGAAAAAAAAACTGACAGTGAAAAGATAGTTGCCAAAGACAAAGATCTCAACCCCAAGACCAAAGACACCCAAAGATGTGGCTCCAAAGACTTAAGATGCCCCTCCCAAGACTAAGACGGCGAAAGACGGGTGTCAAAGACCTAAGACGTCAAAGACAAATGTGTTGTTTTACTGATGGGGTCGTGTTTCGTTGTACCACATACGAGTGCAGTATATTGGGACGGACTAGTTGAATCTCCGCTCCGCAGTTCCCGGCGAACTAAAACAAACGTGGATCATGATCAGATCCAAGGCCAGAAAATTGAGCCAGGGTCACGGCTATTAAATTCCGACCTCCAGCAGCGCAATCTCTCTCTCCGAGAGAAAATGAGGAGAAGAGTTTAGACAAAAAAGAAAGAAAGAAAGATGCGTACCGAAGTTATCCGATACTAGACAGCGGGGGGTCGAACCCAGGATTGCCTCATAATGTGGAAGCTAATTGATTCATGGTAAAAAATAGCCCATGATATTTGCGAATTTAGACACCGGGAGTCGAACCCGCGATTGCCTCGTACACCACGTCTGACTGATCTTATGCAACTCAACCAGACAAACCCGAGGGCACGACAAATCCAGCATGGGCTTTCAGATCCGAGCGTTGACCCAGAGTCGGTTACTTTGACCCAGTGTCTAAAGCCTCCAGCGAGAACAGAGGAAAATGGCGGCAGCGAATGCACTCTCGGGCACGCAGAAAAAGGTACTAAAACCTGGACGACTCAGACCCCGGAAGCCGGGCTTGCCGCAGGTGAACAAGGTACAACCGGACACACCGTGCTGAAGATTTTGCCCCACCAGGTCTGATACAGCTCTTTGAACACAGCTGGTATGTTTTGAATCCCACTTCAGGAGAGCGCTCAGGAGTCCTCGCCACTTTCGCACATAAACCCCACACCGTCCTCCAAGAAAATGATTACTGCAAAACAGTACATACATACAAGGGTCCATCCGTCCGTCCGTCCGTTGATCCTACAACGCGTGCAACAAAACTCAGGAAAACCTGATCCGGGTAAAAGGTATACTGTATATGGTAGCCGAAACCGTGGCCGTAGGGTAGGGTGTGTTTTGAGAAGGGGGGTAGACTGGGAGTGGAGTGTGTGTGGACGAGCGGGAGCTGGGCCAGCCGAGGCGCGACTCGGCGAATGCTGAAGTCGTGTCCGCGAATCCATCCACCCGCGCAAATGCGTCCGCATCCGCATCCAGTGCCGTGCGCGTAATCAATCACTCCAGCCTCATCGCCCACGCGCTGCGCTGCCGCTCCTCCAACTCGCGTATCCGCGCCTTCGTCTTGGCGACGTTGACGCCCTTGCCGCCGCGCTCGAGCAGCGTCTGCGCGGCGCGCAGCTCGGCGGCGAGGTACGCATGGCGTGCGGCGGGGGAGGAGGCGGAGCCGGGCTCGGCAGCGGATGCGGGGGCGGGGGAGAAGTGCGTGGACCACGAGCCCGAGCCCGAGGCGGCGTGCCCGTTCAAGGGTCCTCGGCAAGAATTCCAGAAAAAAATACCTACTTTATCCCCCGATGCCTTCCCGCTGTGCGCGACGATGCCGACGATGCGCGAGTCGTTTGCGGGCCCCACCAGCACAGGGAATTCAGGGCAGCATACCGAAGAAGATATATGTGCGTTAGCTTCAGGCAGCCAGTCCATATTGAAAGAAAATTTGCTCACTTTAAGTCAGGATGGATTGCCCAACGTAGGCGACGATGCCGACGACGCGGGAGCGGTCTGTGGGCCCCACCAGCATAAGGGATTCAGGGCGGCATGCTAAAGAAGAGATATGTACGTTAATTCAAGGGCCCTCGGCAAGAATTCAAGAAAGAATACTGATTTTGTCCCCCGAACCCTTCCAAAATATCCTTGTTTTGTCGCAGGACTCAATTCGGCCGATCCCCGCCGTGCGCCGTGGACAGCGCCGAGTAGCCCGGGAAGTAGTCGCCCTGCAGAGCAAAGTGGTATCCGTACGCGGTGGGACTTGACGCGGCAGCTCGACATGTGATAATGGAGGCAACGGACGCGGAGATGAAGCCACTACTCATCATTTGAAGCGCATGGATCTGCTTCATCGTCCACGCCGGTGTAGCCCGGGACAAAATAGTATGCGTGCGCGTTGGAACTTAGTGCAGGTCCCAGCCCTCTTCCAAAGCGAGTCAGGATGCAAGTCGACAGCAGCGAGAAATGGGCTCACCGTGACCGGGTCGAATGACGGACAGCGCGACGACGTTGTCATCTGGCGCGCCAAAGCGGGCAGATCTGTCGAGCTACGACCTCCTCAAGAGCACAGAAGGTGGTCTGATGAGATCGTCGTGGTGGAAGGAAGATCTTGGGCTGGGCTTAGCGAGACGAACGGTCTTGCGGTTGTTTCAGCTACCTGGATAGCAAGAGTGCCTTGGGCTAGACAACGACCCGAAGCCGCACTTCGCCCTGAAAAGCAAGATAGCATCCGTACGGGGTGGAACTTGATGCAGGTCCCAGTCCTCTGCCAAAGCGAGTCAGGAAACAATTCGACAACAGCGAGGAATGTGCTCACCGGGTCGAATGACGGACAGCGGGACAACGACGTCGTCTGGCGCGCCAAAGCGGGCCGACTCTGTCGAGCCACGACCTCCTCAAGAGCATATAAAGTGGTCCGATGAGATCGTCGTGGTGGGAGGAAGAGAATAGAGAGATCCTGGATGGCAAGCGAGATTTGGCGTCTTGCAGTGCGTGGATGGCAAGAGTCTTCGGCTGGACGGCAGAACACGCTTTCCAACGCGAAGTCAAGAGAGCACCAAAGCTATATACGACTCCAAGTCGCACTTGAGTGGTGGTGGGTGAGTGTCTCTTGATCATGATCTATTGTGTATGTATGTCACGTGGCTGTCAATCGTGTGGTCCATGCACTCTTCTATTCTGACTCTGGCTCTGACGGCCTGCCTCGGCGGTTTCTTCATCGGCCTTCTCAGCTATTTGAAGCGCCAGTCTGGAGTTCCTTCGATCCCTGATGACTGGGACGAGTTGCCCAGCGATCGTGCCACACAAGTGTGGCTTTCTTGTGCACATTTTCTGCGACAGAATGGAATCATCATTTTTGGCCACCATAATTATTTTTCCGTACCAGGACCCCCCCATCCCCCTCCCTCTAGTCCTTTCGATCCGAGCGACAAGGAGGACTTTGTTCACAGAGTTGAACGTTCTCCTCGAAGAGTTAGGCACTTCGTGTTACAAGTAAGTTTATACTACTTCCTGTCCAAACCCCTCCCCTGACTCGCCACAGACACCTGTGACTTGTATCGGGCTGGACAACCTCGGGAGAAATGTTTTCATCAAGGCTGTTCGGGCCTCGTCAACTGAATGGAGCATCATCAAGGCACTGTCGACTTCACCCCGGAACTCCTGGAACCGCACTATTCCCTGTGTCTCAATAATTCACGCCAAAAAATGGGTCTTCATCGTCCAGGCAGCCTGGGGAACCATGTGGGACCATCCTCAATGGGATTCCGTTTCCACGAGACTCAGGATGGCAAGGCAGTTGATAGAGGTGGCTTCTTTGCTCTTACCAGTCCGATGGGACATTCATGATCATCGGTGCAACAGGGCCTGTGTTTCATGCACACAGAGGGAGTCGCGCACGGTGTGCGTGCGCAGTAGCTCGGATCTCAAGTCGACGACTCACCTGTGACCTAGGACTTACACCCTGGCAACATTGTTTGTAACCATGAAGACATTCACCCTGCTCATACGAGGTGGCCATCCGGTAAACCGCAGCCCGCGTTCCAAAGCACGTTCGATTATCAATTGGCATTCATCGATTTCGAATTCGCTGTACGTTTCACAGCGCAAAACCATATCCGAGAATTCGAACAGGGGCCACCCGACGCATTCCGACCTCCTGAATGTTCCGATGACGCCAAATACGACGTGCTTGCAGCAGACATCTACTCCCTTGGTCAGGTTCTGAAACATGAACTAGCAATTGATTCAAAGGTTTTGCAGTACTTTGGTGTCCGATTAGTTGACCAAATCTTGTTGCCAGACCCTTCCGCCCATCGATACTAGGGCCGTGGCGCCGGACTATATTGCCCTCCTCGACTCCATGACGGCAGAGGAACCACGAGATCGTCCGACAGCGGCACGCGCCCTGGAGTTGGTTCTTGCGGCTTCGGAGTCATTGCAGCTTGGGAGTGTATCGGGAATGCCTTGACTAGGATCGTATGGCGCTTTGCCCGCTTGTGGATGTATCCTCCCGTGACTATTTCTTTCTTGTGATTCCACACTCGTAGACACTCGTACCTCCCCATCAAAGTAGTAAATAAATGCACAGGCCCCCCTCAACCCGCCCCAAAAGGGCCTCAGGCGACAGCTTTACCTGTACATGCACCTAGCCACCGAGTTGGCTAGGACTGTGGGTTTGGATATCATTTCCGTTGGCTACTGCCATACCATTCAGTCTATATATTAGGGCTATGGCTCCACGCCCGACTCGGATACTTGGTTGATGCCTCTAGATCTCGGAACTCCGCACGAAAACCACTACGAACCGGATTCGGAGTGCACAAACGCGCAGTAAAAACAACCAGATCTCATCTTAGCCAGACACCGGGAGTCGAACCCGGATCTGCCTCTGGTATTTCAAAGTTGGGAGGCGGTGTTGTATTACACCATGTCTGATCTATTCCTCTGGATATCGCGTCTGTTAGCTGGTAGGGTGTGTGTTAAATGAGAGCGGGAGAAGGTAGGATCCTGCCAAATCCAGCTACAAGTTATTAGTCTACAACTCGGGTACTTATTTCATCCAGGTTGACTTAATTCTAACTCCGACCTCTTGCAAATCCGGCCCCCAAGATAGAACGAAAAAACAGCAGCGAGCCGGATCTGTGACTGACCATGGGTATTCAGTAAAAAAAAAAACATAATGTCCCCTCCTAGTCAGACACCGGGAGTCGAACCCAGATCTGCCTCATCCATCGATATGCGTGGGGAGGCCATGTTCAGTACACCATGTCTGAGCTACTACTGTTAATACTACGGCTGTTAGCTGGGAGGGTGCATGCTAGATGAGGGAGGGTGAAGGTGCTCGGGCCTTAAATTCAGGATCCTGCCAAATCCAACTACAACTCGGATACTTATTTATTCCAGGTTCAACTTACCTATCTCTAGCGCTCGGAACTCTAAGTCCCGCATTCGAACGCAACAAAACAGAACAGGGAGCGGATCCGGAGTGCAAAAACACGCAGTAAAAAAAAAAACCAGGGTTCAAGCCGCAGTCAGACACCGGGAGTCGAACCCGGATCTGCCTCATACTTCGATCCAGCTGCGTGGAGTTTGTTATAAGTTGGGAGGCCGTGTTGCGGTACACCATGTCTGATTTATTTCTCCGACTACCATGACTGTTAGTTAGTAAGGCGTGTACTGAATAGGAGAGGAGGAGGGGGAGGCATACGAGGTCGATTTAATTACGACTCCGAGTCTTGCATCCGAACGCAGCAAAAACAGCAGCGAGCCGGATCCGGATCCAGAGGGAGTGCCAAAACCTACGCGTAACCGGGTATCCAGTTCAAACAAAATTTAAAAAGTTGATCCACTTGATGAATCAATCAGACACCTGGAGTCGAACCCGGGATTACCCCGGGCGTAGGGAAGGGTGATGAAGCTAAAGACGGGGGCCGTGTTGCGTTACACTATGTCTGACTGCGTTTGAATGGTTTCATGTCCGAGTTGCGGTGGAGTTAGACTCAGAGGAAAGAAGGTATGTGAGGCGGGGGAGTGAAGACGGGCTGGGATGTTTTGAATCCGAGTTCAGGAGAGCGCTCAGGAGTCCGTGCCACAGTTGTTCAAGAAAATGATTACTGTAAAACAGTACATACATACAAGGGTCCATCCGTCCGTCCGTCCGTCGATCCTACAACGCGTGCGTGCAACAAAACTGTACATGCATACAGGAAATCCTGATCGAGGCGAAGGGTATACTGTATATCGTAGCCGTAGGGTAGGGTAGGGGGGTAGGGTGTGTTTTGAGAAGGGGGGGGGGTAGACTGTTCGTGGGGATGGAGTGGGAGTGGGAGTAGGGTGTGTGTGTTCGACCGGGAGCCGGGCCAGCCGCGAGCCTAGGCGCGATTCGGCAATTGCAGAAGTCGTGTCCGTGAATCCATCCACCCGCGCAAATGCGTCCGCTCCCGCATCCAGTGCCGTGCGAGAAATCAATCACTCCAGCCCCATCGCCCACGCGCTGCTCTGCCGCTCCTCCAACTCGCGTATCCGCGCCTTCGTCTTGGCGACGTTGACGCCCTTGCCGCCGCGCTCGAGCAGCGTCTGCGCGGCGCGCAGCTCGGCGGCTAAGTATGCTTGGCGCGCGGCGGGGGAGGACGCGGAGCCGGGCTCGGCGGCGGATGCGGGGGCGGGGGAGAAGGGCGTGGACCACGAGCCCGAGGCGGTGTGCCCGGCACCGGGGGGTGGGTACTGCGCGAGCTCGACGGCGTCGCGCTCGCTCGGAGGGGGCCGCGGGGGCTGGGGATCTGCACGCTGTTGCGTTTGGGGGTAGGCGTACGGCGTCATGCCCTTTGCGCCGGCACCCAGAGTTGTCGAAGCGGCCTCCCGCCGGCGGGCACGGCGGACGAAGAGGTAGCGGATGACGAAGAGGCCGACGATGGCGGCGATTACGCCGAGGGCGACGCCGACGATGAGGCCTACGGGTGCCTTTTTCTGCCTGCGACAACGATTCGGTTAGCTGCGGTGTGGAGTGGAGTGGAGACGTACACTTCGGAGTGGAAATGGACGGTCGGCGTCGGTCTGGAGAGAGTGAGCACGACGGGCTGAAGGTGGGAAAGCTGAAGCACACGCACCCTTGGCTGTGGCTATGGCTCTTGGTCGACGCGGGGACTCCGGATGTCGCGGTGGGGACGAGGGTGACTGAGCGAGGCTCCAGGGTGATGCCATGAGCGCCGGGGACGGCGGCGAGCAGAGCCATGTTGTCGTCGTCGGGATCGACGTTGGAGGGGTCGTGGTTGTCGTCAGAGGCAGCGGTGGGAAGAGAGCAGCATTGATTTAGGTGTGACAGTCACGGTGACGCTTGTTTCTTCCTTTTGTTTTCCTTGTTTCCTCTTTGGTCACTCCGGAGTCTGGTTTTCCTCGCTGTTTCAATGCAGTTGGTTTGCGGAATGAAAGACTCTTTTATGTTTCCTCGGGCGATCTCTCCTGAACCCCCAAACCCCCTCTTTGGACTCTCGACCTACAGTCTCTTAGGGCCCAGGCTCTCGACCCTCTTCCTTGGCAGGGGTGCAACTAAGTTGAACTGCCCGCTTGGCCCACGTGGAATCAATCTTTACCACAGCGCCAGACAGCGCCTACGTCGGCCTTGGCAAATACCTGCTTGCGGATAATCTCGTCTGGGGATAATCATCTCTTGATTCCTTGGCATTCCTAATTCGAACAAGAGATTATGAAACAAGACCCAATGGCGGACGGCTCGCGTTCGTGATACATAGATGACAAGAGAAGCAATGCATTATTGCGGATATTCCTGGTTCGACTCCAGGTTGGGTCTTGGGTCGGCATGTGGTTATTTTTTCTCCCTTTGCGTCGTCTCATCCTGATCCTTTTTCGCGAAAGGAACTCAGTACAATTAAAGGCGTCAAGACCGGTACCTCTCCCACTCATGATTGAAAAAGCGTCCCAATTGCTTCCTTGGCCATCAAAGCTCCCCCTCGTATATTGATTCACCTCTACGGAGGGGAGACCCAGTGGTGGGCGGTACCGCACCTGCATCTCGTGCTATGGCATGGAATATACTGCGCAGGTTTCTGGTTCGAATCCAGGCTGGGTCGTTCGAGAAATCGCAATTTTTTTCTCCTTGCTGTTTCTGACTCCTGTTTGTTCTTCCCCGCCACAAAAGCAGTAGAAAGGATCTAGCGGTGAATGGTACGCATCGTTGATATGACTTATAGCAGGATTAATTCTTGGTTCGGATATAGGCTGGGGGGAAGCCCGTTACTTTTTCTTTACCTCGCATCTTGTCATCCGGGCTCTCCTTTTCACAGCATGCCAGTTCTATCGATTGTCTACAGGGAAACAAGCACGTGGAGACCCCACGTTTTGTCGAGGCGCTAAATCCACCCGTCCGGCGTCCCGAACAGCGAAAAATCACGCTGCGTACGGCGTATTGGTATGTATTAACGTTATAGGAAGACCCAGTGGTGGGTGGTACCGTGTCTGTATCTTGCGGCTTCTCTCTCAAGGAATATACCACGCAGGTTTCTGGTTCGAATCCAGGCTGGGTCGTTGAAGAATGGGTGGTCAGTTTTTTCTCCTCCCATGCTTCTGACTACTGTTCCTTCTTCCCTACCACAAAAGCCGTAGAAATGACCCACTGGCGAATAATTCGCGCCCGTCATATCGCTGATACGACGTATAGCGGAAATTAATCCTTGGTTCGAATCTTGGCTGAGGAAGAACCAATTGTTTTTCGTTCCCCCGCTTCGTGTCGTGCGGTCTCTCCTTTTCAAAGCATCCCATCTCTACCTATAGTATACAAGGAAACAAGACATGTGGTGGAGACTCCAAATTTTGGCGAGGCGCTACATTGACCCCCTCCGGCGTCCCCGAACAGCGGAAAATCACGCCTCGTACGTACGCATTGGTATGTATTATCGTTATAGGAAGACCCAGTGGCGGGTGGTACCGCGCCCACACCAAGTTGGTTTATGGCATGCTTCCGCGTCACACGTGGATGTTCCTGGTTCGAATCCAGGCTGGGTCGTTAAGTCTCTCGCGACGACTTTTTTTCTCCCTTTGTTTCATCTCTTGCTGATCCTTTGTTCGAAACGTAGGTCGTCGTACTCCGTACAAACAAAGCCGTCAAGACCGGTACGATTGGAAAAGCGTCCCAATTGCATCCTTGGCCATCAAAAGCACCCCTCGCATAATGGTTTATTTGCAAGGAGGGAAGACCCAGTGGCGGGTGGTACCGCGCCTGTATCTCGTAGCTTGCTTCGCTAAATAAATGTATACCGCGCAGGTTCCTGGTTCGAATCCAGGCTGGGTCGTTGACGGTTCGGCCCGTGAATTTTTTTCCTCCTTGCCTTTTCTGACTACTGTTTCTTCTCTGCCACAAAAGCATCATTGATTAGACGTACAGCGTAAATTCTTGGCCCGAATCTAGGCTGGGGGGAAGCCGATTGTTTCTCGTTCCCCGCTTCATAGAATGCTGAACAATATTATTGCGGATTATTTTCCTGGTTCGACTCCGACTCCAGGATGGGCCTCTCGCGACGACTGTTTTCTCCCTTTTGCGGAATCTCATGCTAATCCTTTTTCCGAAAGGAATTCAATACAACCAAAGCCGTTAAGACCGGTATGGTGAAAAGCGTCCCATTCGCTTTACCATCAAAAGCACCCCTCGTATAATGGTTTACTTTCAAGGAGGAAAGACCCAGTGGCGGGTGGTACTGCACCTGTATCTCGTGGAGTAGAAGATCGGAAAAATATCGCGCAGGTTCCTGGTTCGAATCCAGGCTGGGTCCTAGAACGGAACGCCGGTGTGTCAATTTTTTTCTCCTTACACGCTTCTGACTCCCGGTTTTTTATACAGCCTCGACTCCGTTCGAAACAGGGTGGATGCACGGGACGGTGGAAAGCAGACCCAACGGCGAAGGGTTCGCGTCCGTACTGCATGTTTGTTTAGCCTCTTCGAACATATTGCGGTAATTCCTGGTTCGAATCCAGGTTGGGTCACTAGACGAAAGCGAGGGATATTTTTTTTCGTTCCCTCACTTGTTTCATCTCATCCTAATCCTTGCACGTTCGACGTCGTCTGGATGCACGCAAGGTGGAGACGTTCCATTCTTCATTAGACGTTGTGTTCCCCATCATGATCCACCTGCAAAGAGTACCCATCAACTAGCAGCGCATCGCAGTCCAGAAAGCAGGACCCAGTAACGAGTGGTTCGCACCCGTGATTTGTGCAGCTGCTGCCAAATTTGCCAGCGGAGGAGTTCTGGTTCGAATCCAGGCTGGGTCGTGAGCCCTTGTTGAGAATTTTCCCTCGCCGTTTCTAACTGTTTCTTCTGCTCACACGAGGATGAGCAGGTTACAAGAACGAGAAACAGATCCACTGGCGAATAGTTCGCGTCCGCACTGCATGTTTATGGTGTCTCTTCATATTGCGGTAGTTCCTGGTTTGAATCCAGGCTGGGTCACTGAGTGAAAGGTCAGTCTTTTTATTTCCTTCGCATCATCTCATCCGGCCTTTTTTCTCCACGTTTTTTCGAGAGCTTTCCACAAGCAAAAACAACCATCGTACAACGCATCATCGGTATCGGAAGAAGACCCACTGGCGGGTGGTACCTCCCTTACATTGTGTCGAGGAATGTAGGTGCCTGGTTCGAATCCAGGCTGGGTCCTATGACTTGAACAAGAGTCATTTTTCTCCCTCCCCGTTTCTGACTCAGGTTTTAAACAGTTTCTAGAAGTGGGTTACGACGGGACTGAAATGAAACCCAGTGGCGAATGATTAATCGATTCGCGTCTGCACTGCATGAAGTTTCCTCCAAAATCTAGCGGCAGTTCCTGGTTCGAATCCAGACTGAAAATGTGACTGCCCTCAGTCACTGGCTTGCTGGATCGCATAGGAAGAGGGGTGGTGGCGAATGATTCGCGTCTGCACTGGATCAAGTTTCCTCCAAAATCTAGCGGCAATTCCTGGTTCGATACCAGATTGAAAATGTGACTGCCCTCAGTCATTGGCTTGCTGGATCGCATAGGAAGAGGGGTGGATCGAAACGGAGATGTCGCGCACGCTTGCGCGCTACGAACGGAAACCGAATTCCGCTTTAGGCGCCCGGATCAATCCGAGCTTGTCCACCGAACCAAACAAACAAATCTTACTTCCTTCCTCCGTCTCACTCCCCCGCCCCCCGACTCACGCGCCAATCGCGCACTTTTGTATTCTCACTGACCTCATTTGTTCTTTGTCTTTCATACGTTTCCTGCGCCCCTAGGAAGCTTCATTAGCCATCTCTCGGACTAAGTTCCGGACTTCGAGTTCCTTGTCTGTGTCAACCCGTCGATGTGCCTGGCGATTGTACATCAAGGAACTATTATGAGCGATAGACTGGCAGGGTTCACGGCAGGAACCTCTGTGGGTAGTTTTCTTTCTCTCTTTAGCTCCCAGCGGTCGTCCACACCCTTGGAATATGAATCGCAATGAGCTGGGTCCCTTCTGGAAGTAGTCCGAAGTGTCTGATTCACCCGTTCTCTAGATCATTCTCGCCGGCTTCCCGTCATCTGTCAGAAGATTGGACATGGCAGCCCGGTATAAATACCATTCCGTCTGAAAGTCTGCGACAGCTCCGCCATCAGCCTTTCGCCATGCTGCTCCCAATCCTGCTTGCTAAGATACTCTTCGTTGCTGGGACTCTCGCCATGCCCTCGGCCGAGATACGAAGCCAGAATATTAAACGGATTAGTCGCCGCGAGGAGTTCATCCGGCGGCAGGCTGCGTCCCCGTTCCACTCGTCAAACTGGGCGGGCGCGGTGATAACTAACAAGACAGTACATTATTCCCTTTGCATTTAGGTATTTATTTTATTGTTTATCTAGGCAAATTTCCAAGGGGTGACTGGTCAATTTGTTGTACCCACCTTTACCGCCGTGTCGGGCCTGCGCAATGCGTATATCTCTATCTGGCTCGCTATCGACGGCCTTACGTGCACGACCGCGACCATCAAAGCAGGCGTGGACATTGAGATCAACGACTTCGGTACGGTATCCTACCTTGGTACGTGTTATGGCTCTCGAGTCTCGACAACGACGTCTTTAAAAAAGCTTATTCTCGAGTCCACAGTATGGGACGAGTACCTCCCTGGCCAGTACTTCACCGAATCGACCACTTTCACTGCTCAAGTAACCCGCTCGGGGAGCCTCATGAACGTGGGTGTGCTCGCATCTGTGCTCGGAACCCCCGCCACGGTAATCGAGAACCTCACCAACGGCGAAGGTGCCGTGGACTCGCGGAATTTCACTCCGAGCCCTGCGCTCTGTGGGGCGGATGCCATTTGGGCTGTAGAGGTGTGGGAGACGGGCGATGTGCGGGTGCCGGTGACTGTGGAGTGGCAAAATCCGCAGGCGCAAACCGGGGATGCGAGGTTTGTGAGCCCGGGGAGTGGGAATGTGGTCAACACGGTGGAGAATGGGGTGGCGTTGTCAAGTTGCTCGACGACGGCGACCAGTCTCACTTGCTCGTTTTAGCTATGAAGTGTATGATATCTTGAGACAGGAATTTACCTAATGACCTTTGTGTAAAAGTGTGCATAGTTGAATAGCTTAAGTGCTGTATCAGCTCAACCCACAAGTCTAAAGTCCGTCGCGTGCGGAGCTGTATTATCTGCGTGAGCGGCAACAGCACATCGAGAAGCAAAATTGAAGGACTGCTCCAGCCTGATTCATCAGTAATCAAAACCGACTCGGCTACAGTACATTGTACTGCACGGAAAAGCAACCTTAAAATCGCCTTTGTGAACCGCGAGATTGTCGATCTGAATGGGACAAGGATTTGGATCAGGGCCTCAGCCTCTGTTCAAAACACGACAGTCTTCTCACATAATGTTCAGGCAGGGACGGTGTTGAACTGGGGGCGCCAACCCAATCGGATGAGACGTAATTCGAAAAGGGACGGAGGAAACGAGAGGGGACTAAATGGAGAGTCAGAGCGGTAGAAAAATAAAGGACAACGACGGACATGAGTAAACGTTGCTCGCGTCGTCCGTGTCCTTCTCCAGGGGGAATACGCCGATTAGCATGTGTCAATTATTGAATTGGGATGCTGGCTGTTTTGCGCACCGAATGCGAGGTAATACAGTAACAGCCCAGGGAATATAGGGAATATACATCGCGATTCACGGTCGCGGCAATGGATCCAATGGCGCGAGGCTGGGGGCAAAAATATATAAATGAACGCCCGCGGTGCGATGAGAATAAAACGGTCTTCATTACAGATCTACTTCATATGAATGCCACTCAACTACGATAAGTCTTGTACGGGAGGTAGCAAGCGAACGGGAATGTGCGCGTCTTTCGGGTCACCCGGAAGAATGACCTCTTCCTTCCAGACGCCATGGCTATGTCGATAGGTGATTCGGACCACCATCGACTATTTCATCGCCGCCTACCCTCCTTTGGCCGAGTACGTGGTGGACGGAAGAATGGTTAGCGCTCCGAAACGCTGCCGACGACTCGTTACTAGGTTCGAGACTTCGACGAGGATGCCCTTCTTTTCCCAGTCTGTCATAATGGACTCTTGGTCCTGGTTGGCCCAGCCGAGATACAAGTTCCATGAGAACGGCTGTTCTTCCGGAAGCGGAGAGGATAAGTCGAATGGTAGAAGAGCCTGAACGGGCCAACATCGGACATTTGAATGTTGACCGCGTTTGTAGGGATACGCGTGGCCTGCAATTATACATTGGAGTTACGCAGAACGTACGCCTATCACGGCGCCGTCTTTCATAAATTCATAATGTTGCTCATAAAAGGTTTTGGCAGCGTCGATGCTTCCATGTATAGCCAGGATGTCGTTGAAGGATTTCACTCGATGTTCATGCGTGGTGTCGGGCAGAACAGCATCGAGAAGTTCCGAAGATATAGGTATATCAATGACCTCGTCACGGCGTGAGATGAGACGTAGCAAAGTAAGGTGAAGATAGACTTGTTGCGAGGGAGAAAGACTAGGCATGTCGGTGGCACGAGAAAGCGAGACCAGTTATCAATAAAGAGAAAGATTCTGAATCGGGAAGAGAACTAATAGCTGTCAGGCTCTTTCAAGTTCGTCGCTAGGATTCTGGCGCGATGGTTAGGAGCAAGTTTGGAGCAGAAAGGAAGACGGAACAGTGGCTGTGTCGATCCGATCAGGTATTGTAGCTCTGCTTGCTCTCCGCGTCCATCCGCTTCGAAGCTATGACACAGCAAATAACCCAACCTAGTTATTACACCACAACGATTTTATTTATTAACATACTATGAGAGGGAGGGAAGTGGATGTGAGAACAGTATT